ATGCCTTATGTACAAGAGGTTTAATTTCTTTTTCTTTTTTGTCTTTTTGAAACAGGATCTCCCTGTAGCCCTAGCTGACCTGGAACCATTATGTAGACCAGGCTGGCCTTGAACACACAGAGATCTGCCTGCTTCTGTCTCCTGAGTGCTGGGATTAAAGGCATGCCATGCCTGGCTTTTTTTGTCTTTTTGAGACAGGGCCTCCTTGTAGCCCCAACTGTCCTGGAACTCGCTATGTAGACCAGGCCAGCCTCGAACTCACAGAGATCCACCTGCCTCTGCCTCCTGAGTGTTGGGATTAAAGGCATGCGCCACCATGCCCAGCTTAATATTTATTATTTTTATTTTATGTGTATGAATCTGCATGTATGTTAAGTACCCTGTGTTGTGCAATGCCCATGGAGTTCAAAAGAAGGTGTTGGATCCCCTGAAATTGGAGTTATAGATGGTTGTTAGCTGCTATGTGGGTGCTGGAAATCGAACCTGGGTCCTCTGCAAGAGCAGCCAGTGCTCTTAACCACTGAGGCATCTCTCCAACCCCTCAATATGATTGTTAAAGCCACTTAGAAGTCCTTTAAAGCCTGTCCTGTCCCAAAGACTAAATCACTTTTTGTACAACTCTGAATGTTCCCATACCTATCAAAAATTTATAAATACCCTATATTTTGTAATGTAAGTAATATGAACTTTTCATTGCTTACAAAAAGAAATGTCTTCAGATTATTATGGCTTGGTTGAAATTTTAAAAAAGGGAGGGGTATAAGACAAAAATAATCTAAATTTCTTCATGTAATTTAATTTTATGAGCCTCAATTTCTTCAGTCTTCCTGTATGCTGGGCATGGCAAGAAGATCTTGTGTGAGGTCAGCCTGATCTACACAGTGAATTCCAGGCCAGGCAAAGCTACATAGTGAGACCCTATCTCAAAACAACAAAATAAGTCTTCTACTATGGTAACACAGACAGGCTGGGTGAATATTTCCTAAGCACAATACACTCTTGGTCTCACCTCTTTGATCTCGCCTACAAGTTTGATGGCATGGTCATATGTTGGGGGGTCTTCACTTAGCTGGACACTCAAGCAATCCCAGAAAGCTTTATGTACAATCTCTTTTACTCTCTTCTCCAAGCTGGAGACAACAGAAAAAAACAAAAACAAACAAACAAACAAACAAAAAAACCCAAAAAACAGAGCCTCAAATCACATTCAAAATGATAAATTCTATGGCTATAGGGTAACTTCTTAAAACCTGTAAGAACCAAGGAAGGAGAACTAGACAAAATCTGATGACATATTTTACTCAGTGATTTTTTTTTAAAGTATTTATTTTTATTTCGTGTATATGTGAGTGCCTGCATGTATGTATGTATACCATGTGCATGCCACTGCCCACAGATGCCAAACAAGTGTGTTGGATCCCCAGGAACTGGAGTTACAGGCCATTATGACTGCCATGTGGTACTGGGAACCAAACCCAGGTCCTCTGAAAGATGAGCAAATGCTCTTAACTGCTGAGCCATCTCTCCAGGCCCTATAACTTTCTTTTACTAAGTACTTCTTAGGAAAAATAACTTTCAACTCATTTAATAGTCAACACGAATCCAATTAATAGGATATAATCAAGCCAGATGATAAAAAGACTGTGGAAAATTCAGAGTTCCTAATTTTTGTTCTCTAATATCAGCCAGCTCCTAAGACATGCATACTTATGTGGTTTAAAATAGCAATTCAGAGGGTTGGAGAGATGGCTCAGGGGTTAAGTGCACTGGCTGCTCTTGCAAAGGATCCGGGTTCAGTTCCCAGTACCCTCATCGAGGCTAACAACCATAGGTAACTCCAATTTCAGGGAATCTGACATCTTTTGACCTATGCTGGCTCCAATATGCTGGGATTTCTTCTGAAACTGAGGCTGCATCTTCACCAATGGGCTCTCTGGACGCTCAGGGTGCAAAGCCTCAGATTCTCTCCACGACCCCTTCAATCCTGGAGATCTTCAATGCAGCTTGGGCCGCACCTCCACCAATGGCCTTTCTGGCCTCTCATAGTGCCAAGCCTCAGCTGCTCTCCAGGACTCCGTCAAGTGTTCAAAACCAATACAATGTAGGAGGCCACTCTTACACATTACCAAGTTCTGATTCCAGCTTGAAATGTAGCCTTAGGCCCCTCTGGATGACAGCTTTTGTGTGCTGACCTTGAGGAAATACTTTCCAGAAGATTTCAGCACAGTGATGCTAGTCTCTTCTTAATCACTGCTGACTTTTCAGCTCTAGCTGGCCAGAAACCGCAGATTCTCCTTTCAAAATACCATACAAACAGCCCTGATAGTCTTTGCTTCCCTTGAAACTTTCACAAACGAGGCCTCCATCATCCAGCACCTCTTTTCGTATTATCATCCAAGTTCCTATAAAATAGCTCACTGAGCTCCAAGAGCTTTTCCAGTCTGAAGCTCCAAAAATGTCCACAATCTTCCCCAAAACAACATGGTCAAGTCTGTCACAGCAATATCCCACTTCTGGTACCAATTTCTGTCCTAGTTACTATTACTCTGATAAAAACAGTGACCAAAACCAACTTGTGGAGGAAAGGGTTTATTTTCTCTTATATCTCCCAGGTCACAGTGCATCATTGAGGGAAGTCAGGGCAGGAAGTCAGGGCAGGAACCTGGAAGCAAGGGCACAAGCACAGAACATGTGGATAGCTGCTTACTGGATTGCTTCTCTGGCCCATGCTCAGCCTGCTTTCTTATACAACACAGGACCATCTGCCAAGGGTGGCACCACCCACAGTGGGCTGGTGCCTCCTACATGACTCAACAATCAAGAAAATGCCCCACAGACATGGCCACAGCCCATTCCAATGGAGGAAATGCCTCAATTGAAGTTCTGATAGTCATTCCTAATCTGGGAATATTTTTAGCACTAATGTGCAAAAGGAAATATGTACTTGAACATGCTTGCATCAAATAAAGGAAACATTTCCAGATCTGGGAAATGACAGTGTTCTACTAAAGAAGTTAACTCACCTGTCTTCTGGTAATTCAACTGGTTTAATTCGAAAGTCTCCATTTACTACAATTTCGTGGGCTAGAGCCATGTTGGTGACTCCTTTTGCTGTTTCTAGAAGTTCTTCTACTGTCACAAGTTGAGGAGGACTAGCTGTAACAGACACTTAGTGTAAGAGACTTACTTCTATAGACTGTAATTTATTTTGAGATAAGGAGAAGGCCATTGTTCTGGTGTGAGATGGCAATTGCCATTATACCTATATTAAAAATATTCCAACATTTCAAACAGCAACAGAATTTTAGCTTTTTTACTTTTTTCTTTTTACCTAGAATCCTAAAAGTAGTGATCACTCATATAATACTCAAAACATGCAATTTTCACTAAGATTGGCCAATGGAAAACCATTACAGTAAACTAAGATTGAAAACTTAAATTATAGGTTTCCATTATCCCAATAAACTCAGGATCTATGCTCTAACTCTGCTGCCCCCTGTCTTTCTTAAAAAGATCTTCTTTCTGCTTCCATAAGCAGTACACTTTTCCACTAATGCTGTGGCAAGAACAAATTCCCCAAATTTAAAAAGCATAAGTCCTTTAGATTTCAGGCACTGTTTAACCAAGGTAAAACCTAGGGCCATCAAGATGGCTCAGCAGTAAAGGAGTTTGCTGCCAGGCCTGTTGACCTGAGTGTAATCCCAGGGCCCCCAATAATGAAAGGTGAGAACCAATTCCTGACCAAAAACACACACACGAGAGAGAGGGGGGGGGGGGAAATGAATTGTTAAAATTTAAAATACAGGGAAAGAGCCAGTTTGGTCCCAGCACTTGGAGGCAGAGGCAGGTGAATCTCTGTGAGTTCAAGGCCAGCTTAGAATAATGTCTAGATAATGAAGACATTCCTCTAAGTCATGTTGCTTTTCCTTGACTGCCCAGGGGGTTACTATGGAGGAAAAAGTAGATTGTATAATAGCAGTTTCTATGGAAATCTTGGTTATTAATTTTAAGACCTACAGCAATTTATTTATCATAGTTCTTCTACCCTTTTTCTAAGAGTAATGCATCGTAATTTTCGTGGTATGTTATATTAGGGAGTACAGGAGAATTGGTCACAGTAAGGTATTTGTTCTAAAATTAATTGGATTGATTTTAAAAGAAAGAAATTAGGGATTTTAAAAGCTTACTTTGGGGCTGAGCATGGTGACTCATGCCTTTAATCCCAGCACTCAGGAGGCCAAGGTAAACGGATCTCTGTGAGTTCAAGGCCAACCTGGCCTACATAGTGAGTTCCAGGCCAGCTGGAGCTACAGAGAAACCCCATCTCAAAAAGACCAAAAAAATAAAAGTAAAATACAGGACAGAAGAGATGGCTCAGCACTTAAGAACACTGGCTGCTGTACCATACGACCTGGGTTCAGTTCCCAGCACTCATATGGCACCTCACAACCACTTGTAAATCCAGTGCCAAAGGATCCAATGTCCTCTTCTGGCCTCAGTGGACACTGCATGCACATAGCACACATATATGAATGTAGGCAAATCTTATATATA